AAGACTGAATTCTTGGGGCACCTGGGTGGCTCAGTGTGTTAAATCCTCTGCCTTTGGCTCGGGTCATGATCCCAGGGTCCTGGGATTGAGCCAGGCATCTGGCTCTCTGCTCAGCAGGGAGCCTGCTTCTCCCCTTTCTCTCTGCCTGCCTTTCTGCCTACTTGTGATCTCTGTCTGTCAAATAAATAAATAATAAAGTCTTTAAAAAAAAAAAAAAGACTGCATTCTTACACTTCAAACAATAATAGTGAAACGGTAGTACCTGGATGGCTGAGTCAGGTAAACATCAGACTCTTGATTTTAGGTCATGATCTCAGGGTCCTGCGAAGGGCTCTGCACTCAGCAGGGAGTCTGCTTGAGGATTCTCTCTCTCTCTTTCTGCCCCTCTCCACACCACACTCTCTCTCTCAAATAAATAAATAAAATCTTAAAATATTAATAACAAAACAACAAAGTGCATAGACTTATAAATATGTGTGCAGAAAACTTCCTAGCAGACTCCTTCAAACTGAATGCGTTAGTGGAAAGATAGGAAAGAGCAGCAGACTGAGGTTGGCCCACCGAGGGATCCTATCTCTAACGTTTTATCTCTTTAACTGAGTGAGAGAGATGAAACAAACATGATAAAATGGTAACAGTTAGGAGTGTAGTCATTTCAGAAAACTGCCCTAGAGTTTGCCCCATATCACTCTGCATATTCTTCTTTTTTTTTTTTTTCCCATTTTGAAAATAAGTTAGGCAAAGGCAAATGTCTCCAAAGGCAAAGGAAATAAAAGCAAAGATGAACTTTTGGGATTTCATCAAGATCAAAAGCTTCTGCACAGCAAAGGAAACAGTCAAAAAAACAAAGAGGCAACCCACGGAATGGGAGAAGATATTTGCAAATGACAGTACAGACAAAAGGTTGATATCCAGGGTCTATAAAGAACTCCTCAAACTCAACACACACAAAACAGACAATCATATCAAAAAATGGGCAGAAGATATGAACAGACACTTCTCCAATGAAGACATACAAATGGCTTTCAGACACATGAAAAAATGTTCATCATCACTAGCCATCAGGGAGATTCAAATTAAAACCACATTGAGATACCAACTTACACCAGTTAGAATGGCCAAAATTAGCAAGACAGGAAACAACATGTGTTGGAGAGGATGTGAAGAAAGGGGAACCCTCTTACACTGTTGGTGGGAATGCAAGTTTGTGCAGCCACTTTGGAGAACAGTGTGGAGATTCCTTAAGAAATTAAAAATAGAGCTTCCCTATGACCCTGCAATTGCATTACTGGGTACTTACCCCAAAGATACAGATGTAGTGAAAAGAAGGGCCATCTGTACCCCAATGTTTATAGCAGCAATGGCCACGGTCACCAAACTGTGTAAAGAACCAAGATGCCCTTCAACAGACGAATGGATAAGGAAGATGTGGTCCATATACACTATGGAGTTTGATGCCTCCATCAGAAAGGATGAATACCCAACTTTTATAGCAACATGGATGGGACTGGAAGAGATTATGCTGAGTGAAATAAGTCAAACAGAGAAAGTCAATTATCATATGGTTTCACTTATTTGTGGAGCATAACAAATAGCACGGAGGACAAGGGGAGATGGAGAGGAGAAGGGAGTTGAGGGAAATTGGAAGGGGAGATGAACCATGAGAGACTATGGACTCTGTAAAACAATCTGAGGGTTTTGAAGGGGCGGGGGGTGGGAGGTTGGGGGATCCAGGTGGTGGGTATTGGAGAGGGCACGGATTGCATGGAGCACTGGGTGTGGTGCAAAAACAAGGAATACTGTTATGCTGAAAATTAAAAAAAAAAAAGAAGAAGATCAGGGAAGTCTGGAAGCAGAGTCTAGAAATCAGCTATAGTGGCTTTTTCATTTAAAATCAAAGTTATGGATGATGTGGTTCTGCAGACTTAAAACGGTCAGTTTGCATCAGGAAGAGGCTGTGGTTATATTAGCGGAGCTCCAGTGCCCAGAGAGTCAAACAAGGTAGCAGGGTGACCTCTGGGAAAGTAGCAGCTCACAGCCAACTTGCCTGGTGCCTGGGTCAGAAGCCAGAGCAGAGAGGTGGACTATTTTTCCTCAACCTTTCCCCAGAAATGGTCTTTTCAGCCCATACTTAGTGATAATCTTTAACAGATAAATCACTCCCTAGGTGAGAGAATTTGGAAAGTAAAATCCTACTGAGGAAAAGCTGCTAGGAAGCAGACAGAACCTTTGCAGATAGCTCAATAAATCTAGAGAAGGCAGTTTTGAGACTATAAAAGTGAACAGGTAGGATAAAGGTATCGGCCGGCATATATGGATTTTTACTGTTTCTGGTCATATTCACTTGATTTAAAAGGTGTTCAAAATTTTCTGAAAACATTGCAAAAGGGGATTGCCAACTTGAAGACTGAACTACATTAATGGGATGAACTGTAAAAATAACAAATACTCAAGTAATTCAAATCATGAAGTTACTTGTTGCTACTGAGCTCTCTAATGCTCATTTATTCTATGTAGTATTGGTATATCTCGATTTCCAAAAAAAGTACTGCAGTATAGCATTTTTCTACAGGCATATCCAGATAGTGATTTTTTTTTTTCTTAAAAACTTTGCCTATGTTTGTAGAGTACACAGTGTTTTATTAGTTCCAGGATCCACTTATGGACTATTAAAACCACTGTAGTTTTGTTTTGCCTTTTCTTCCTTTCAGTGGGACACATTTATTAGCATTTATAAGGTATTCACTAGTATCTGTACAAAGGGCACGAATGAGTAATGAAAAGTGTTCACCTAATTAGGAATGGGTGTGGGGTGATGTTAATTGGAATTGACTTATTCCTGACTTATTTTCATGTTAATTCCCAGGTATGGGGATCCTGCCTGGAGAAGCAAGAACTTCCGGGTATTAGAAAGTCTTTTTATTTACCTATTTATTTTTAGCAGAATCAACTATGAACAGGAAGAGAGAAACATTGTGCATTCTAAAGGAGTTAAAGGCTGACATTTTAAGGAATCCCATATGTTAGGGATGGCGCATACTTCTTTAGTAAATTTAATAGGTGTCCATTCATAAAGCATAACTTCCTTTACTTCAGTGAATCAGAGTGATGGTTTAAGTATTGCACAAGGGCACTTCATGTGATGCATGCCACACTTTGGATTCTGCATGGGAGAGATAATCATAAAACAAAGTAACTAAGTGTTCCGAAGCAGCGTGCTTTGGAATTCAGCAAGTTAATTCTCAGGTCGTTAAGGGGCTTTCTTTTCAATGGCAATTGTAAATGCCATTCCCCTTAGTTAAACCAAATAAAATGTCAGATTCGAAAGAAGATGAATGGGCACAAACTGGATAAGAAGAAACCCTTTTTCTTCTCCCTTTTTTGTTGTTGTTTTTCATTAATCTAAATAGGGGTTATTCAGATTCTTTTCTCTTTCTTGGGCTAGAAGGTAAAATTATACTTTAAATGCATGAAGATCAGTGATGCATGGAATTCTACTGTTGAACATTATTCAATGCAAATATTCTTAGGAGAGGTAAATAAAGCTTTATTAGCCTTTTATATCTTAGTGTAAATAAGCGTAATAGATTCTTTTCTGAGACAAGTTAAAGTTAAATTTGCTTTTTATATTTGCAGACTATTTGGGTCTTAACTCTGCATAAAGAGACAGTGGTCTTCGCTTCTATCTTTCCTAGCAGTTAGGAGGCATTCACTGAACCTCTCCAAGGCATAATTTTTCAATGTGTGGGTTGGCCACAGATATTAAAGACCCATGTAGCTCTAATACTTCAAGTTAGCTGCTTCAGAAAATTGTTGTTAATTCCCGAAATATAATTTGAGATATAAATTAGTAAGCAGAACTAGGAATATGTCCCTTCACCAAGAAATAAGGCAAAACAAAACAAAACAAAACAACAACAACAAAAAAACAAAAAACCCCTGTGAGTTGGGTTAGGATAAAGCAGAGAAGAATGCCTACGGCAACATAGGCTTCTCAGAAAGTACATGCAGAAACTCAGTTCCAGCAAACACTTCTGCCTAAAGTCTCACCCAAAGGGTTGTGTTTATTGTTTTTATTATTTATTCATCTATTCATTTTTTGCTCTTTTGATAGTTAAAATTTATTAATTTGTATAAAGCTATTACTTTAAACAGACTCCAAGTTGGGACATTTATGAAGTTATTTGAGTAATTTTATTCTTTTTAATTTATTTTTAATTTTTTAATTTTTATTTTTTTTCTCACCATAGCACATACCCTCCCCAATATCCATCACCCAGCCACCCCATCCCTCCCACGCCTCTCCCCTCCAGCAACCCTCAGTTTGTTTCCTGAGATTAAGAGTCTCTTATGATTTGTCTCTAGAAGAGCATCCTTTAAGGAAGCATTTAAGGCTTCCATTCCCTTTAAGGAAGTCCACTGGCATGGTCAGCAAGGATGATACCCATATCCCTTAATTCCAGTGGTGAGCTCAAGATATAAGAAAGTCAATAATACATATCAGTAATTACATGGATTAATTCAAATAGAAAAAGAGTAAAAGATTTGATTGATAGATTGTTGAGTCTCCTGAGTATAGTTAGTATTTGGAGAAATCCATTGTTATATGCTTATGAAGAAAAGGGAAAAGTATTTTAAATAGTAACCACTGATGCTCCTGAGAGCCTTGCAGAAGTGAAGGAAAAGTTTATGCAAGTCCATTTGGTGTGACAAGGACTCAAGGCCCACATAGATAAAAAGGGGAAGGGTATTTGGAAGTGTGATGATGTATAACTTCAAAGGTCAATTCATAGAGAATTCCTGGGGAAAGAAACTGAGTAGCTTCTTCCAAGGTGTATCAGAATGATTGAAGCACAATTAACTATGTGAAGATGTGATAAATTAGAGTTAGGCAATAACCTAGCAAGGCATTCTTTCATAAAGTGACAAGCGAGGAGGAGGGAGCATCTGGACGATGACACACCCATTTCTAAGAGTATATATAACCTGGAGCCCAGACTATGGCATTGAAACTCAGAGCATTTCCTCACGGTCACTCAGCTGAACTTACATCTCCTGCCAACATGTCCTACAGCTGCTGCTCTGGAAACGTCTCCTCCAGCTCCTTTGGGGGGTACATGCGCTATGTAAACTCCTCCTGTGGCTCGTCCTGCCCCAGCAACCTGGTCTACCGCACTGACTCCTGCTCTCCCAGCACCTGTCAGCTGAGCTCCTCCCCTGCTAGTGCCTGTCAGGAGAACTGCTGTGAGCCCACCAGCTGCCAGACATCCTGCGTGGTGTCCAGACCTTGCCAGACATCCTGCAACAGTCCGAGGACCTCCACACTCTGCAATCCCTGCCAGACAACTTGCTCTGGGTCTGTGGGCATTGGGTCCAGCAGCTGCCATTCCCTGAGCTATGGATCCAGAAGCTGCTACTCACTGGGTTGTGGATCCCAGGGCTCCAGATCCATGAGTTATGGAGTCTGTGGCTTCCCTTCACTGGGCTACGGATCCAGATTCTGGGATCCAACCAACTTGGCTTCTAGGAGCTGCCAGTCTTCTTGTTACAGACCAACCTATAGATCAGCCTTCTGTAAACCAACTTGTTGAGTTTCCAGACGCTTTGAGTAAAATGTTTCAGTCTCTACATAGAGCTGCTACTGTAGTGTTCTCAGTAATGTCAGCTAATGCCTCTTATCACCAGCTCCTCACCCCATTGGCATCAGGTATCAGCTGATAGACTAGTTCCTTCAGTGAACTTAACAAATGATGAAAATATTAAGTGTGTGCCTGTAATTTTGAACAATTGACTAAGAATTACATAAATTCTTCTTACAAAATGTATGGAAGTTCAGTTTTGCTCGACTTAATAAACACATTTACTCTTGCATCTGGAATGTTCTCATTGTTCTTTATTGATTTTCAAAGTCCGATTTGTGATCTATCTTTGGGGCTCCAGACCCTCAGAATACTTTCCTTAGGAAATAGGTTTGGATTTCCTTAGGAAATGGTGTCAGGCCTGGTGTATGGTGAAGTTCTCCGGGCAGTATACTGACTAAGAGCTATTAAGTGTGCGTGTCTTCCGAAGTTGGTAGGATTTTTATTATTGAGAGTAGGCCCATATAAAGTCAACACTCTCATCATGTTTTCAGTATGCTTATCTAGTTTTGAACATCTTATGTTTATTTGGTTTTGAGTTTACATTTTCAAAACAGTATTGAATTAGAATTTATCTTGTGATGTTAAGTGGGTGAAAAAGCATTTAAAAAATATACAAATTATTGAATGAATCTGATATACTGACATGAAAAAGTGAAAATATGAAGTGTTAGGGGTTATAGGACATAATGATTGTCTTTAAATATATAGAAATATGGGTTATTCAGTGCGTGTGTATTTGTGTGTGTGTGGAAGAGAGAGACAGATAAACGGAGTCTTAAAAGTTTAAAACTGTGAGGAATGGAAAGAGTTATAGGGAGAAATATTTTGGCTTATTATAAAGAAATATAAATTTTTGAATTGTAAATTTACAAAATTATTATGACACAGGTACTTTGAAGCTATTCAGTTTCTCAACAAGTAGAAGATGGATAAATCCCATGTTTGTTTGTCTTAGTGACTTCTGCCTTTGAATTGGAGGTAAGATTAGATAACTTTCCATGTTCTGAATCTTATAACCCATGCAGGTATCCTTGGGACCCACTACTCAGTAGTGGTATTGAAAAGCAGACATATCCTTGTAGGATATTACACAGATTTGAGGCAGAATACCATCTGTGTTTATTTTTAATATGATTAAGTTTTTGTTTCAGAGGCTAAATGTAGCATTACAATTCAGTTAAAACTTTTTCATAACATATTTAGTGACAACTCATCATGAGTGGGAGAAATCACCAACAAATATTTACCACGTACTCCAATTATGTGCCATGAGTGTTTATTGATTTGTCTTCCCTAACACATTTTCCTCAGGCTTTTTCTAATTGAAGCTGAGAGAAGAGGGTTCCTTTTCTTTTTTTAAAGGTTTATTTATTTATTTGACACAGAGATAGAGAGTACAAGTAGGCAGAGTGAGAGGGAGAAGCAGGCTCTCCACTGAGCAGGGAGCCCAACGTGGGGCTCCATCCCAGGACCCTGGGATCATGACCTGAGCTGAAGGCAGCCGCTTAACCAACTAAGCCACCCAGGTGTCCTATTCCTTTTCTCTTATATCCAAGACAATCATGGACTAAGCATGGATGCATGGGAACCCGGTTTTCTGTGCACAGAAATGTGCCCAAGAGACAGAAAATAAAAGGATAGAGGAGGGACATAGAAGTTGCTGGTGACACAGGAGCCTCTGGTTTCCATCATCCCTTAAGCCAGCTTTACTAGCCCTTCATGTACTTTGATTATATGGGCCAATAAAGTCTTCTTTTGGTTTAAACTAATTAAAATAATTAAAATAAAGTAAGATTCCTGTCACTGACATTCAAAGAGTTATAATTAATAAAAATGTGCCAGCTAGGTGCAGATTTACTCATAGTACAGACTATGGTGTGAAGAAACACTTAAAAATTTTATTAGTAAGATAAAAAGATTCTATGAGTCTAACTATGACCATTAGCAGTGAGGGTGAACTATTATTTCCTTCTTAAAGTAATGTAGAATGAGTAAAATGTACATTAAAGAAAACATTTGGGAAAGCAAACTTAAGAGGGTCACAGTAGTATGGCCAGTGAGAAAGTCCTGGGGACAGAGTCAGCAAACGTGATTCTACTTTCAATCAAGGAAGGCATGAGGCCCCACAAGAGTGATGGGTACAGATAATGTTTAAAACTCAGAACAATGCCAAGATGGAAGGATCCAGTGACATAGAGGGTCTAGTTCTGGAATGACTTGGAGATTTTCCCCCCACTATAATGGCATCTTTGAGGTGAACAGCCAAAAATTGAAACAGAGAGGCAAAGGAGGGGAGAGGAAATATATACATCAGTATACTTTTAATATGCAAGCTTTTCCAAATAGAACAGGAACATTCAGATTTCAGGGAGCAGACATGATGAACACCCTTTGCATCCTTCATTCTTTGCCTTGTGATTTTCTCAGTATCTAATCACTGCTAGTTTCCCCTTCTCTTCTCTCAGCCCTTTGTTTTTCTTCTCTGTGTTGCTCCCCATATCTCCATCTCTCTATCTCTCATATCTCCATATCTCTCTCTCAACTGCTCCATCTCTCTCTCTCTCTCTTCCCCTCATATCTCCATCTTTCTCTCTCATATTTCCATCTCTCTCCTTCCCTCCTGACCTGCCTCCCTCCATGATTTTTCACCTCTTATGTGCACCCTACTTTTTTCCACATCCACCTTCTGGTGCCCTATTGAGTCTGGGCACCAGGTAACACTGGTTTTTTGGATGAATGGTGACAAGGCAGGGCTCTGTCGTTGGCTAGGAAGAAGCTAAGAGAGAAGAGGGACACTTACCTCTCAAGCTAAGTCTGCTCATTCGTAAGTACCCCACTTCTAATGCTCTTACTACATTAGATAACATCAGCTCCTTGCTCTGAATTCAGCTCACTAAATATATTTGGAATTTGAACTTTGCATTATAGTGTTTTTGTGAAGAATGCTGGGAACTCAGAAAAGATAAAGACTTTGGTCTATTAAGAGCTAATTCACATATAGTGGAAGAGACAAACTTCCTCCCTTTATGTTGGTGTGAGGGGTGGGTTTAAGGGGGTGGCAAGGGAGCCTCAGGAGAGGTAACTGCATACGCAATGGTATAATCACCTGGAAGAATATTGTGTGGGGTTCAAGGAGGAAAGCAGCAGGCTCTTTTTATTAAACTCTGAAATCTGGGCACAAGAAGGTAAGAGATTACATAATAATAAAAAGTGAGCTGGTGCAACACTACAGATCCAGAAATAGAGACAGTAGCCACACCAGTGCTTGAGAAAGAAAGCCTGAGCCTGTGTCTGGAGTGACGAGACATCACTGATAAAAAAGAGCCTTCATATTTGATACATGGGAATGGTTCTTTGGGCTCCTGTTATTCTTGGGAAGCAAAATTAATGTGCTTATTTCTGTGACTGGGGACTCATTCAGTTGCAATCAACAATCTAATAAAATGCTAACACACACAGGGTAGAGTTCCAGGATGTGGACTATAACTACAGAGGCACTGCACTTGGAATTAAGGAAAAGTGAATTGTTTCTCAAGTTCAAAATACTTTATGCAGCTATTCAACAGGAAATCATACTTCTCACTGTGCCTTACCTACCGTTGCTTTGGGAGTTTCCCTCACTGACCCCTTAGGGGTTTTCTGATTTCCTAGTGTTCTGCTATGTCTGTTCTCCTCCCACTGATTTGCTTTACTGCGGCATCACATTCTTCAGAGTACACTCACCATCAGAGTTGTGCAAGGGACTACCTTCTTGAAGGATATACCCCAGGTTTCCACTCATACACCCAAGCCCCAGTCCTAGAGAGTGTTTACATCTACTCTCTAATTACCACGTGTGTTTACTGTGACATGCATGCCATCCAAGAACTGTTGCTTTCCTCAGGCCCCACCACCTTGCTGACATCGAGTCTTGGGTCTAGGGACATAATAACTGCTACTTCTCAGTTGTGGGCCCCGTTTCTGCCACCCAACCTATCTGCTTCTGTAAATTGTTTGGATATTTTGCCAACCAGTGTCTCTATATAAATTACTCATCAAACTGCTGCATGATCATATTTTCCACGCACAGACTACACAAGCTTCTGTTGATGTTGAGCCCTCTCTACACAATTATGATTGTCAAATAATGAATATTCCCTTATTGGACTGTGACCTTTTTGCAGATAAACTGTACCTGTTCTAAGATACCCCTAGAAAATGGACAAGCAACCATCTACCTAGAGAAAAATAGCCTTTGCCCATCACTCCTTCCATTTGATTCACCCATTAAAAATTATTAAATCTTAGTAATGTTACATTTCAAGGCTTATCCTTTGCAATGAAGTATATCCTTTAAGCAAGTATAAAATAATGAAGAAAAATGAGATTGTAGAGATTGTAGAGATTTAACTTACTGGAGCCAAAATTGTGCACTCTATTATTTTTCATTAGTGTGTGTGGTCTGGTGTATCTTTTGGATATTCTAGGTTTTAAAGAAATATTGATCTTTTTGTTAAATAGACACTAAATTTCCAACTTAGAAAAATGTTGCTATATGTAGGATTACTATCAGTAGACTAGGCTTTTGAAATCTTGTAATTTCCTTTTCCTTTTATGACACTATCAACTGGGAAATAGAGCAAATAAAAAATATGCTGAGTTGGGTGCTGGTGCTGGTTCTCTTATTAACCAGACTTTGATCTTATATCCATCACCTCCTTCTCTGTGTATTGTCTTCCATACGTGCAAAATGAGATAGTCCTTTATAATCTGTGATCTCTAAGATTTCTTTCAGCATTATAGACCTATTCGTATTATATGATAATAGTGTGATGTGGGGGATGGGCTCTTAATGCCCCCACTACAGTTTGGATTCTTCTTTGTGGCCAGAAAAAGGTGGGACAGAAGGCTAATATGTAAAATGGAATGCAATATAAAATGTAATAATATTGAGATAACTTTTCAAATAG